TTACCCTTTTAAGTCAGAAATAGCCCCCCTGAAGTTACTTGTCCCAGTCCATGGAATATGTACTTATCCTAGCTGAGGACATGGTGTGGTGAAATTTCCTTAGGAAACTGGCATGACAGAGAAACGAATCAAGCCCTTATTACTGATTTTAGTAAAAGTTGACCTCTTTTGAAGGCACAAAAAAAGAAGGTAAACAATACTTTTTGCTGATTATTTGTCATTTGATCAGGGTAGGGTCGAAGACATTAAGGGAAAATGGTACACCAGCCGAATCTCTGTTCTCGTGTAAAGAGGAAAGAATTCCATAGGCATGAGTGAGTTACACTGGGGAAGCACTGCAGTGAAGGAGAGGGGATTCAGCAGCAAAAATGCCCGTGTTAATTAGAGGCAAAGTGTAGAAACAGAAGACCACGATGTTTGATGTATTGGACTTTCCACATCTGTTACAAATATTAATTCGCACACTTAGGCAACTGTGTTGTATAGATTAAGTTACTTTGACAGAAGAGTTTTGCTTGCTCAGTGTTACTGTGAGATCACTGTCATCAAAATTAGTGAGGATTTTGGTTGGGTAAGATTGGAATGGAACTTCAGGAATTCAGGTGGCTAGGGGATAAACAACTCAGATGCTAATGGTTGGCCGATATGATTTTGTATCTATGGAACATCCACTGCCTTTTGGGTGGCAGCAGCAGGCTAGGCAGGATGCCCCAAGGCTCTTATAACAGCACTACATGACAAAGTCTAGATGCCTGAATTGCATCTTGCTCTTATGGACAGGCATATAGGTCCCTAGTACTAAAATCCTCCAGGTACTTACTGTATGGGATAATTGGACTTTTTGTTATGAAAAGTTGGACAAACTGCATTGATTTACAGAGATTTATGCATTTAAATACATGGAAACAGGAGGATAGCTCGAGAATGTAAATCAGAGCAGGTTTTCTAGGCTAAATAACTTTAAAATAAAACACTATGGTCTGTCTCAGCTGGGAAATATACAGGCAGAAGGAGGCTGCAAGTTTTGATTGGGTTACTTCAGAAAATCTGGGAGCTGATTTGATTGAATTATCAAAAAGAAATAGAAGGCTTTAAAAATTATCTTCCCAACAAATTGGATTTTTGGCCTTGAATCTTTTTTTTCTTCTTATAGCTTGTCATTTAGGGTAAATGAACTCAGCACCGTTCAGTGGTTTACGTAGTTGCAAATAGGTACTTCTCCTACAGTATGTTATGGTCGTTTGAACTTCTCAAAGGGATATTTTATGGAAACATTTCAGTAACAGGGTTTGTTTTTGATTTGAAAGGTGACTGTTTGCTGATGATGGGTTTGAAGAATGGAGATAGTGAATGAAAATGAGATTTGTACTCATGACCTCTGTGCAAGACTGTTATGCTAATGTGAGTAAAATTATTTTTTGTTCAGGAGTCCTGCACAAAGTCACTGTATTATTTAAATCCCAGATTTTCCATCAAAACCTAGCTTGGAAGAGATTTAAGGGATTCACAGGCCTTCTGCTGGCCCTCAGTCTAGCATTTTGAGGACAAAGAAGTAAATGGGAACTTAGAACAGTAGCTCTGCTGTGTTATTTTCATTTTTATAATTGAAGGAGAAAGTTTCCCATTCTCACCCAATTTTTGTTTTTGGAATGAATTCACTGAATTGGTGGGATTTAGTGTGGCCTCAGCAATGTTGCTGATGACACCAAGCTGTGTGGTGTGGTGACATGCTGGAGAGAAGGGATCCATCCAGAGGGACCTGGACAGGCTGGAGAGGTGGGACCATGCCAGCCTCATGAAGTTCAACAAGGCCAAGTGCAAGGTCCTGCACATGGGTCGAGGCAATCCCAAGCACAAATACAGGCTGGGAGGGGAATGGATTGAGAGCAGCCCTGAGGAGAAGGACTTGGGGGTGTTGGTTGATGAGAAGCTGAACATGAGCCGGCAGTGTGTGCTGGCAGCCCAGAAACCAACCGTGTCCTGGGCTGCATCAAAAGAAGTGTGACCAGCAGGTCAAGGGAGGAGATCCTCCCCCTCTACTCTGCTCTCGTTAGACCCCAAGCTCTGGAGTCCTCAGCACAGGAAAGACATGACCCTGTTAGAGCGAGTCCAGAGGACGGCTATGAAGATGGTCAGAGGGCTGGAGCACCTCCCATATGATGACAGGCTGAGAGAGTTGGGGTTGTTCAGCCTGGAGAAGAGAAGGCTCTGGGGAGACCTTAGAGCAGCTTCCAGTGCTGAAAGGGGGCTACAGGAGAGATGGGGAGGGACTCTTCATCAGGGAGTACAGCAATAGGACGAGAGTTAATGTCTTTAAGCTGAAAGAGGTGAGATTTAGATTAGCTATTAGGAGAAATGTTTTCCTGTGCAGGTGGTGAGGCAGTGGCCCAGGTTGCCCAGAGCAGCTGTGGATGCCCCATCCCTGGAGGGGTTCAAGGCCAGGCTGGATGAGGCTTTGAGCAACCTGGGCTGGTGGGAGGTGTCCCTGCCCATGGCAGGGGGGGGTGGAACTTGATCATCTTCCACACCATTCTGTGATTCTGTGTTTCTGGTCCTCCAGTTCTTCCTATAAAGTAGGGTGACAGTAAAAATATCTTCAAATACTGGTTGAACATTTTGCCTGTCAAGATTGTAAAGAGGGTTTCCTCTGTAGTACTGCTTCGTTTCTATGGCTTGAAAAAGAGAGTGTGTAGGAAGAAAATATTGCTCATATGTACTGCTGTTTCCAAATTTTGTTTAGGAAGGTAGTTGCTAGATAAATGATGTTGTATCAAGAGACCTAGGATTTAGGAATTGTTCAGAGGATCTGTCTGTGGTCTGAACATTACAATCTGTTTGCTGGATTGCTCTGGTCTGGTGCAATCTACTTTCTATGAACCCTGAACATTAGAAGTGTGGACTTCAGGTTATGCCCAGACTGCCAGCCCTTTCTATGTGTCTTAGTAACTGCAGCACAGAACTGTCCCTAGGGATTAATAAATCTTTTTTTGGATGGCTCAGTGTGGTAACCCCAAGGGCATCATTAAAACTCTCCACAAGAATTACTTCAATGCCTGTAACATATAATTATGCTTTAGAAATGCACTGCAGTGTTTCTTACTGTTAAAAGTAGATTTTTCAAACTAAGCCCAAGAAACTCTGTTAAATGAGCATTTATGTTTCATTAAGGATATGTGGTGTGAAGTTCATTTGAATTGATTTTCCTTTAGCTGCTCCGTAATGCAAGTTTTAAAATTTAATAAATCCTACATTTTTAGTTTGGCCATATTAGTATATTTTTTGCCATGTCGCAGGAAAAACCTATTCAGTGTGGGTTCAGAAATGCATATTTCCATGCATATACTTGTCCTGACCTGTCATCAGCTCCTAGATCTAGTCTGTACTGTTGCGATTTCATTTGATGATCACCTAGCTGAATCCTAATTCTGCTGGCTGCTCTGTGCCCTGTGGACCTGGCTGGTAGGACAGTCAGAAGCACTAAGAGTTGTCTTAACTTTGCTCATGTTGTCCAAGGAGTTGTTAAAGGTTTGAAAGATGTCACAAGCTGTCATTGAAAGATTCAGTTCTGTTTCTGAATACTTCCCTATTTTCAGTGAGGGCCCAATTATCCACTGTTGGTATAGAAAATAAAAGACGAGAAAAGTTATTCCAATCTTCAGTCAATGCACTGACAAAACATTTTTTCTGTCTTTCAAGACCAAAGGAATCCCCTAAGGGAGGAAACTCTGCTTGAACATCTGTATTTAATCTTTAGTCTCAGGACCTAACTTCTGGCAATTAAATATTGCTGGCGTACAGCTGGTTGTTATTTGATCCCAATAAAAAAATATTTACTCGCAAAATTTTCCCACCCAGTCAGTTTGCTGATATAGGGAGGAAATCAAATCGGTAATAAGCTAAGTCAAGAGAAAGCTGTAGTTGTTAAACACAGAAAGCAGCAGTGCCCAAAGAAGTCAGCTCAAAAGAGGGGTTTTACTAACTGAAGATACAGAGGCTAGGTTATAGGACCTGTCAGGCCATCTCATCCCATAGTCCTGGCCTGGTGGAGATGCTGGCAGTGGTGCCCATGGACACCCTGAGCTCTGTGGGTGTTGACCCAGGGCAGACTCACAGCCAGGATTGGTAGGAGCTCTGCCAAGAAGCGCCAAGGCTCGCTGCTACTCTAGACTACACGGGCATTGACGCTAATGCGTGTGATGTTTGCACGTGGGGCGCGCGTTTGGGCTGGTAGTGTAAACGGGGGATACCAGGATATTCAGGTGGAAACAAGGACTGCTACATTTTTTCACCAGATCATCACTGAATTATGATCAAAATCCGAGTCCTTTCTTGCGCTAGATAAGACGGTGCACCATTGTTTGGGATGTGAAGGAATATGTGCACTTGAACTGCTGGAGAGATCAAATGATTTTGTGAGCCCAGATCTCACGCAAGCAGGTGTGTGTTGGTGAATGAGGGGATGTTTCTTTTTTTGATTCTAAAAATGTGCATCTAAAACAGCACTACTGAATGTGTACAGTTGCTATGAGGTTTCTAGTGGTGTGGCAAAGAGACTGGCTTTGTACGTGCTGGTGTTTGCAGTGCCAGATGAAGGCGTGGGCAGAAATGTTACATGCTGTTTTGTGCAGCAGTCAGAGAGCATTTAAACAAAGTTTTTTTATTTAAAAACTAAGGTGTAACCTTTCTTACTGTCTTGCTTTTTTGGCTATTTTCAGCTCTCGGTTTATTTTATCAAGTTTTCTGTATATTGGTATAAGCTTTTGAGCCAATTCTTCGGTATTGAGGAATAGGTGATTCTCTGTGCACCTAAAGATGAATCTGCATATTTGGTTTTATGGTCAAATTGCAAAATACATGTATACAATGGACATGGAAGACCTGAGCACGAGAGGAAAAGTGGATGTGTAAAATAAGTCAATATTAGATGTAATGAAATTCACATTTTTCTTTTTCTTGGATAGTGCATTATGTTGTCTGATCCGGTGTGATTCTCCTTGCAGAGGAAGAGGGGAAGACAATTCAAGGAAGTAAAGTGGACTCTCTAAGGAAAACATTTTCTGCTTCTGAAATATCAAACAGAACTAAACAGGATGGCTCACCTGGAAGAAGCAAAGAAATTTGGGTGTCTCTTCCACCACCGATGCCAAATGAGAATGAGGTAATGAGTTAACATTTGTCCATGTGTACGAGCACCACATCCAAACAGTTGAAAACAGGGGAAATGTATTGTCTAAATGATAGAGGCTAGTGGTGTTTATCCCATCTGAGGCAAATATTTAAAATACTACCTAAGTGTGTAATGCTTACAAAGCCACCTGCAGGGATCACGTTTGGCAGTGGCATTTGCTCCACTGAAGAGCTGCCATAATTTGACTAACGAATAAGGCGCCCTGCAGGGACCTTGGGAGTGCTTTCACTGAAGGCTGCAGTTCACAGGAGAGGTTGGCAAAAAGGAAAGAGTCCTCAGAGTATGGATGCCAGCATGCACAGATTTATTTTGCTTCTTGGAGATTTTAGCAAGTGCTGAATTCTGTGTTGCTGAAGCAGGATTGCTTAAGTTACCTAAAGTAAACAGTAGGCAGGCCAGAGGCATTTTTAATATTCTGAAACACAGGAGATTAGGAATTGAATGTGTAGGGACAGGAAAACAACAGATACCACCTGGAGAGAGGGAAATGGAAGACTGAGTCCAGTTGTTCAAAACTTCTGCCCTCCTGCCTGAATAACAAATAACTAAGCTGTGATCTAGCCTGTACTCAAAAATTCCCTTCATTAAACTTTTTATTAAAAAATAAGTAGCAGGTCATTTTATGCAATACACAGACCAATACACTTAAGTGCCTTCAAATGATGGGCCTGCCAGGCCTCAGTCAAAGAGCACAAGCTGTCATCTTCCTCCCTACTAGCGTGTGCCTTTGAGGTGGAATCAAGCAAGGCTTTTAAAACAGTCACATTCTGTCAGTTGATTGTATAATAATAATAATGATGACAAGAATATTTTTTGCCATTTTTCTTATGAAGAATGGGCTTACCTCATTGGGATAGACTGCCTTTGGGTGTCTTACTTTAGCCACTTTAAATTTGCTTTCTGCCCCATAAAGCAATGTGCAACTTCCGTGATCCTTCATTCAATGGAACGTCTCAATACTTGTCTTTGTTGCTACAGAAAAAAAGTTTCAGGCATGGCTGCACATTTTTGTCACATTAGCAGTTTAAGAAACAAATACAGTAATAATAGAATGCATCACAAAAATTGCGAGCATCGTAGCAGGAGGAGGCTGTAATGCAGGAAGTTGGCCTGTGTAACCTTTAAGCCTGCCCTGAAGAAAGGAAAGAGGGGAAAAAAATCTGCTATTGAAAGCAATGCTTCTGTTCTAAATGCTGCTTTTTAGGCATGTTATGATTACTTGCACTGTTCCAATTGATTCAGTCTGGTCCTGTGTAGTATTTCAGAGGATTACCTGTGTATGTTCTATTTTCAGGAGCATTGCATTCCATTTTTTTAATTTTTCAACTTAAATTTCAAATATTTAAAATTTTAAATACAGTGTAAAGGATCTGGATGTATAAATCAGTAGGAACTTTTGGTTTTGTTTCATGCATGTAAGTATTTCTGCCTATCTATCTACAGACAGTGATGAATGAGAGCTGGAAAGCTGGTGGCTCTGATGGAAATTATCTCCGTCTGTCTGAAAGAGTGAAGGTGAGGTTTTCTTTGATTTTCTTCAGAGTGGGGATTATGAGTAGAATGTGACTCATTTGTTGATGCAATTTGTTGGTGTATTTCTTTCCCATCTGTGGGAAAGAACTATTAGAGCATCACCATCCAAAAATTTTTTCAACTGTTAATGACTATGTACTTTTAAAATGTAAAGGTTAGGTAAGTGTTGGTGGGAATGGTGTCAAATCAGGCTGGAAAAAAATTGTCTAAGAACATTTCAAATGACAGCATGGAAACACAGAAGACTGTCTAGTGCATCTAGTAAATCCTCCATGGTAACACTGTTTGTGTATAGGCTGGGGAAGGCCTTTCACTCTCACCCTATGCTTCTATTCAGAGTGCTACCTGAAATAAGAAATGTCTTTTCTTGTGGTGTATTTTAGATAGTTTAGACCATTTTGGAGGGACATCAGCCTGAAAAAAAAAGTAGTGCAATGTCCCAGATGAAATGCTAAAAATGTAATAATTCTTAGCTTTTTTATTTCCCATTCGGTTCATCATTAATATCAAAACAGAAGGATAAACCTCTGGTTTGCCTATAGCATGTACTGTCTGTGTGCCTTATGCAGTGAGCTTGCAAACTCTTATCTTATCATGTATCTTTTTCCTCTGAAAATATTTGACTTCTCCATCTTCCCACTAAGTTCCTGAGAAAGTTGCTGTACAGCTTGAGCTTCTTTCCCGTCACCATGGTGGGTATGCAGCAATTTTGGCAGCAATTCTTTGACGATACTTAAAAGTATTTCATTTGGGTTACATATTTCAAAGAAAATTTATATGCTTTCTTGGAAAAATGCAGGGGAGAATGGAGAAGGAGGAGACAATGTAATGCTTTCTTGCTTTGCTCTAGATTGTACTATGAGAAATGGAATTAATACATTTTAATCTATTTTCTAATTTGGAATTTTTATGGCAGGTGGACAAGTACTTAGATTTGGAAGATATAGACACAGATGAAGAGACGTGCAGTGGTAGGTTTCCTCCCCCTTCATATTCACTATCATTGTCTTTGGATGCAAGTGTATGAACATTGTTCAAGGCACCATTTCTCCTCTAAAAGTGATGTTCTTACTCAGTTCTTCTGTTGCTAGAAAATTCCCAAAATTGCCCAAATTCACCAAATTAAAGTACTCGTTTCCTCACTCTGAGATAACGAGATAATAAATTATAAGGAATATTTATTTTACTGTGTCCTGGTGAGCACTTATTTTTTTTCAAGATTTTTCAGAATTACGGAACATTTCTTCTTAGTGATGTTTCTACATTTTTCTGCACTTCTATTTTGTATTGACATTATTTTGATTACAAAATAGTGGGTGCTAAGAGAGCGTTCTATAGAGTGTAAATATTTAATGAAAATTTTATCCCTTCCTATTTACATGATTTCATCCTTAGCTTAAAATAGATGAGACTGATTTTGAATGCATAGTGAACTTCTTCAGGAGTTCCAATTATGAGCATTTTGAGTTGTGTTGAACTGTTCTACACATCTATAATAATTTTAACTCTTCCACCTCTAAAAGGTAAATAGAAACCTAGTGTCCATAGTTATTTGTCTATCATAGGTGCTTGTGTTGTCTTTATTGCCACCAGAATTGACAGCCTTTTAGTGATTAAATATCTTTTCTTTATCTATACCTGTGACTGCATAAAGGAACTCAGCCACACAGAGAAGGGATTTGCCTAAGTCACTGAAATAGTTTGTTACAGAGCAGGACTTTGGTCCTCAGTTCCTTGGTTATTGCCATTTGATTAGTCTGCCTAATCTGTTAAAGATTTGTTTAGTCTTTCCTTTCTGTATATTAAGAATTCCTATGAAGTCAGAGGGCGTAGAGACTTCCAGTTGGTATTTGGACCTTGGCTGTAACTCACAAGAAAATAGTAAGCCAATGTAAGTCAGGTTTACAGCAAGTATTCGTTCTCCAGCCTGGGCATTTCAGGAAGCAGGGAGTAAGATAGCAGTCCTGTATCAGGTAGGTACAGACATCAAAGATTTATTTTCAGTGCAGTGTTCATGTGTGACCGTTTTTCCCTTTGTAGGAAGGATGTTCTGTGTTTATGTCTTAAATAGTGGTAATAGCTATAAAAAAAACCCTGGGGCTCACTGGTGGAAGCCTAAAACCACATTTCAGTTGTATCATAATGAAATGAGAATTGTTTATATTTAGTTCATGGAAGTATTGTTAGACATCTCTAGTTCAAAACAGGCCACAAATTGGATGTTGAGAAATAAGCCCAAAATACCAAGCAGGGCAGTGAGGAAAGAGGAGCTCTGACAGAGCTTGAGGATAGCTTGCCCCTTTCTGGACCGTGCCAGATCTTGCCTCTCTACAGGGTTTTCTGTCATTTCTGTGTATTTGTATGTGTGCAAGAGTAAATGTTAATCACATGCATTTAGAAAACCGGAGTAAAACAGACTGCATTGGAGTAAGATGAGAATTAGAGAAATGATCATCTGCTTATACGGTCTCACTAGCACTTTATGCAGGCAACACTGGGAAAACCTTTCCGTTAGTGCTTTTATTGGTGATTATAAAAACAATAAACAGAACATTATGCCACCACTACTGTATATTATCAGTGTGCTAACTACTCTCTTTTTATGTGACATTGGATTTGGCTCTGACTCTCTGCTCTCCTCAGCTCTTCCCAGGAGACAGCACTCCCTGCACACCCTGCCTCCCTGCAGAAAGAAGTGGTATCAACCCCTGAGCAACCAGCAGCACTCACTAACAACATTAAGCATTTAAATTGTATTTTATGACATCAAAACACTGCATAGCCAGAAGCTAATTATTCCTTCTGAACTCCATAAGGAAAGTGAACAGCATCCAAATTCATATCTGGGAAACCCACAGCCTGGGCCTTGCCCAGAGCTTCTGCGGTGAAGATAGTTGTTGAGTCAAGATAAAAAATTTGCTCTTGAATCCTAAAAGCCAAAAATAGGACTTAGAGTTTTATAGTTGTCTTGCATGTCAAAATCCACTTGATAGGCTTCATAATAAGACAGGTATAATCTGCTATTTTCCTTTAGAAACCATAGCAACAAAATGCGAATTAAAATATAAAACGGTGCCGCTTGTATTGTTTCTAATAATAAAGTAATATAAAATAATATCCCTATTGACCACTTTAATAAAGGATTAATTCTGAAGAATTCCAGTTAGTTTATAAATGAGTCAAAGTGTGACACAAATTTGAAAGACATTCTGTTGCTGGCCTTTTTAAATGCTGCCACCTGTATCTCAGAACAAATGATAGATTTAAGACTTCATATTGGCAAAACAAGCAAGGACACCAAGTGAAAAATGTCATACCTTGATGGTATAATTACAACAAACTTTTATCTCTGCTTGTTACTGGCAACAGTTCACTATCTCTGTATGTCATTTAGCTTCAAAGGGCAGATCAGTTAGCTGAGTTAGCAACTGTACATTAATATAATATATATTCACACTTAAGGAGAAGTGGCTGAAAGTTGACAGTGTGAAAAGCATGATAGAAAATAGATGTTAAAACATCCCATCTAAACCAATGCTTTTTGGGATATGTCCTGGAAGCATCATTCCAGTGGGTTTTTTTATCCTTTTTTTATTTTTCAACTTACTTTCCTAAGTCCAATGTCTTTTAAGGTGCCAATGAATACAGCTGCTTCTTACAAAAAAAAAAAAAAAAAAAAGAAAAAAGAAAGAAGACCATAGATTTGGCCAGTGTGCAAATTCATTGTAGCCGTTTTCATTAGACAGCACTGGGCTGAAAGCCTGAAAGCAGGGCAATGCTTTGGTGCAGTAAACCATGATTAGCAAAGTAAAATTGCCGCCCTAATCCATAGCTTTAATGCATTGTGTAGAGACAGCATGTATATGGTGGATTGTTTAATTGCTCTTCCTCACTGAATTTAATCTGTAAGTAGCTTAAGGCAACAATAGAGATGATCAGGTTTTCTCCAGGGACGGATGGAGAATGCCTAGGACCTGTGTTTTGGCAACAGAATTCCTTTCCAGGGCTGGTGACAAATCACTTGCTTCAGGGCTCGAAGGATAGTTAGGTAGTAATAGGTAATATTTGTGTAAAGTAAAAAATATGTAAAAAATATCTCTAGAGACCTTGAGTGTTCTATTTTTTATATACAAGAGAAAATGAAAATAGGACTAATTAAATTGTATGGGTGATGCTGCATGGGTAAGGATATCAGAGTCTCATCCTAGTCTGGCTTGGAGCCCTGAAGTACTGTAAACTTGTCTTTTCAAAGTCCCAGTTCTCTGTAACCCCAGAGAGGCTGAAGAGAACCGAAGTGAATCAGTTACTTTGAAGCTGAGGCCAAGCATAAGCATTATTTAAATAATTCTTTAGGCAAATTATATCAGTATCTGTTATTTTCCATAGTCTATGCCTTTCCATTTGTATTTGGAGCCTGTATTCACGTCCAGAAAAATCAGGTTGAGGAAGAGAATGCAGAGTTAAATTACGTGGATTTTTTCAAGTATGGGGCCCTCCCAGCTGCTGAATCTCTTTCTTTTTTTTTCTTCTCCAGTCTCTGCAATCCATTTAACACTGCCTTGAGATGATTTCACACTAGTCAGCTCTTTGGGGTTAACAGCCTGAAGCCTGAGAATCAGAAGAGACATCAAAATTTAGCTTTTAACCTTTTTTCATTATCACTACCTCCCTCTTCAGCTCCCCATCAGCAACATCTTTGTGAAATGTTAGTGTCTGAAAGTGGTAAAACCTGTGTTGGTGTATCTATAGCTAGGCATCATTCAGCTGCAGTAAAGCTAAAGATTTAGGCAAGACTTCCAACTTCTTCACTCTTGAAATTATATTTGTGCAAACAGATTCAAGTGAGGCTTGTGTGGATAAATTATTTTTTTTTTCTATACTTATAATTGACGTCAATGGTACACAGTGAGCAAAAAAAGTCCAACTCGGCAATGTTTGCAGATTTACTAATCACTTTCTGTGGGTCTGTCATGGCAGGGGGCGAAGGGACTGAAGAGAATTTAAAGCTTCCCATCCAGGAGGTTGGTTCTTCACAGTGTGAGGAGAGGTGCATTTCAAAATCGCAGTTTTTTAATATCACTGCCTGCTCCGTTATCTCTATATATGGTGCTGTTGGCAGTATCCAAGGCTTTCCTGTTGCTAATTAATCACCTCCACAGAGAACATAATTAGCAGCTTAATTAGGATCATCATCCGCTAGTGCTGTAGCATCAGCCTAAACCAGCTGTGAGGTACTGGCTAGAGCTTACAACAGCCTACGGTTCCTTTGGGGGCTCCCACTGAAAAGGAGGACCATCAGAACTCCCTAATTTTTCTCTCTGAAGGAGTTTCTTGATTAAACATTATCAGGGAAAGCAGCATTTACTGATTAGACTTTCATATGCTGTCATGCAGCCAGGGTAGAGAGACAAAGCTCGTTTCTGGCATGTCTACTGGCAAACAAAGGTTGATTACCACGTTCTTATGAGGTGATTGAAGGGAGTTTGAAACATTGTTGGCATTACTAACAAGCCTTAAAATAGTGGAATTGACATTCTGAGTATGACAAGCACTACTTGCTAAAAGCAAAAATAAATTTCCTTCTGTTGTCCTAATTTTTAAGGGTTGTCTTTCTAAGCCATTGCCAGACTGTTGCGTAACGGTGCTTCCTCCTCATCTTCTCTCTGCAGATTGGTCTGTTGCGGGTGGAGGGGAAAGCTCTTAGTACAGAAATAGTGAGTGTTCATATCAGGAGGTGACACAAGCCTCCTGATGTCCAGGCTTTCCTTCCTTCAGTGAGGGTATATATTTCGGGTGCAGGTTTGAAATAATAGCGGAAGATATCATTGCCTTTAAATGAGCACTCACATCTTCCTTCTGTCCTACAAATAGTTTTGACCCAAGTTATGAAAGATGAAAAAAAGTGGTTGCGTGTGAAGACATAGCATATATACCTGGGGACTGCGCTGTTCTTTTTAGAAAGCTTTCTCATATCGCTGATGCAGAATAAGATCACGTGCTATGCTGAGAACAAGTACTGAAGGCACATAGATGACTAGAGATAGGTGTAAGCAACCAAGACACTAGGGATGAAAACTGGAAACCACTTATATGTGAATCATGAACCAAAAGACAAAAATACAGGAATGAGATACCCAAGGGAATGAATCTGTCTCTTTTTTAAAGAACATTCTGCTTTACAAGTCCAAAGCCCTGCTGGCTTTGAAATAATACATGATTCCTAGAAGGAAACTAAATCAAGAATTTGATCATGGATTTTTTTACGAAGGCCTAGCTAGGAAATAATTATTTTCAAATGCAGATTTACAGGAGAATGAGACATCTGTAACTCCACTATGTGGTAAAAGTGTCCAGGTAGAGATAAATCACCACTTCTTCCTTCTCACCTGGATCTATGCACCCTCTTATTGGTTCAATTAACTAACATTTAAGCATCACTTTGAAAATGTATCCTGAGATTTCAAGAGGAAATCAAGCAACTAAAATGTAATATAAAGCTGTAAAGAGACTTGTGTATCAGCCAGAAAAAAATGTAGGTGATTTACATAATCCTTTAACTAAAATGCAAGACATATGGTCCCCTAAAGTTCCTTCATAAAAACATTACTGAGACAAGTTGGACACATCTGTGCTGTAGCAGAGCTGAGATTGATTAGTGTTAAAAGATATTTCTAAACCTAAGGCATATCCTGAGCTGCTACAGAAAGCAAACCCACCGTTCCCAGTATGAATGTTTTATGTATGTAAAGGAAAAGTGATTCAGAAAGTCTGTGCATTTATGAACTGTGGACCAAATCCTGCCCGTCTGGAAAGGTTACATGTTCCTGTGTCCCAGATGTAGGGAAGTCCTCTCAAGTACCTCTTTTTGGAAAGCTCAGGGAGGATCAAACAGTCATGAAATATTCTTGGACAAGAGAGTCATCTGGCACTATAGTGGGGAATATTAGTACTTCTACCAGGTATTTTTTGCTTCATGCTTTGGGAGAGTCGTATTGTTTGCAAATATTCTTTATGCCCAATGTACAGGGTGGTGAAACTCTAGCAAAAGAGAATGGAATGAGACTGCCTAGCTAATCAATGGCAAGACCAGGATTTATTCTGGTATTTTGTAACTCCTACTGCAGGCATCTCTGCTCAGGACCTTCCTTCTTTGTTAGGAAAGAGATGAGTCTAATCCCAGGTTTTCTCTGAGTTTAGGAGAGTCTACATGCAGATTTTTTAATTCAGTGTCCACAAGAAAGAAGAGAGCTACCTGTCTATTTTCAACCAAGTTTGATTTTTCCTTAGTAGAGTATTTTATCATCTAGATTTTAGCTCAGGGCTGCATGGATCTGTTTTAAAGATAGCTGCCTGTGTTATATATTATGCAACAATAAGTACAGCACACTTGACTAGCAAGCTTCTGCCTCTGTCTGAGCGTGACAGGATTTTACACAGGATTTTGCTAATTTGTACATTGAATGGAAGGGTAAAGTTGACTGTTTTTTATTCAGCAGGGTCATTCGTTCTCCCAGGAGAGGTGGAACAGCCAGTGACTGATTGTACACCCTTTTTCGGTAAGCCTGTTCAACTGAAGTTCAGAACCTTGCCAATTCCACAGCCATCGGACAGCAAAGCCCAAGAGGTATGAAGTCAGTTTTATTTATTTAGACATGGGGAGTTTGGGGTGCGGTTTTTTACTTACTGGCTTCTAAGGTTATTTCCACAAGAACAGAGGAATATAGATGGAGTATGTGGAATTGCTATGAATTAACAAGTCATACTAATAATATTTAAATTATTAATGAATTCTCAAAGACATGAAGGATGGAGATAAACACTCTAATAGTAAGGGTACTATTTTATCTCTCACATGCTAGTATATAATCCTACATTTTCAAAATGTGTACTTGAATACTTCAAACTTTATGTGGGTGTTTTAATATTTAATTGGTGTAACTCACAGCATATTCAAGTGAACTCTTGCACTTCCTGACCTTTCAGCAAATCATTACTTACGTAGAATGATGGGCTTTTTAATTTCCCAGTGACCTCGTGATCTTACAACATCCTGCAGTTCTCATTGGGCTGCATATAGGAACCATCATCTGCAACAACGAGGTAGTGAATGACCCCTTTCACGTGACATTTAAAATAATAAAAAAAAAGTTTTAGAATATATTGTGGTCAGAATTGGGGTTTGTCCTCTTGGAAATGAGTAGTAGCAAGATGCTGCTGACAATCTGCACTGTTTAGAGCTGGTGTGCAGAGGTTTGCATTATGAAGTCTGGGTCTTTTAATCAGACACAGTCAATACAAGCTTTAACTTAGAATCGTCAATTTCCCTCAGAATTTCAGTTCTTTTCAAACTGGAACAGAAGGTGTGGATTGCTCACAGGCTTATTTTAAGTCATTAAGCTTCCTTTTCAAATAGTCAGTGTGAGCATTAACTTTTGGGGGTGTTTTTATTGCAGAGAATTCTTCACCACTCTTCTTCCCTGACTGATCATTGTAATAGAAGTCGAAATTAGCTTCTGGATAAAATGGGCCAGTTTTGGTAGTTTCATATGATTATTGATGTCCCATGAGGCTTAAATCAAGTTTATAAATTATGCATGACTGGTGAAAGATTGCTGTTATAGCAGTGCATATGGTACCTCCTTTCCTGAGCTCAATTGTGTTTACTTCTTTGCAGTAAGGAACAAGTCTGCTTGGGGAAAAAGTAAATGTTCTAAAATGACCTTTCAAGCTTTAATACCCACCGTTCTATGAATAAAGATACTCACTCTTTTCCCTAAGGATTGACATAATTCAAGGTTTTTGCCTTGAGAAATATCCATTGGCACACACACACAAATTATATTTATAGTTTTGTCATTTGATAACTTCTGTATAAAACCAAAGAAGAAGGTTGTAGCAGCCTGCAGTGTTCATAAAGGATTGCGTATGACTCTTTAAACTATAATTCATGAAAAATAGATTAAGATCCCACTACATGCAAAATTCATTTCCATTTGGGTAGAAGTTGGGTTATGAAAGAGAAACGGAGTATTGCAGTGGTTAAGGGTTGCTGGATTTTTCAGGAAGAAAGACTTGGGAGTTTTGCAACCGTTTGGTTGGTGCCAGGCTACTCAAGATGAAGGCAGTCTTACCCCTAAATTATACCCATATTTGTGCCTTCATTTAGGTAATACAACTGTGGCCTGATTTTTAGAACTGTGAAGACTGAATAGGTCTATTTTAAAATCTCTCAGTGCTTCAAATTGCTGTTACCTTGAAAATTAAGTCTTACATTGCTTATGGCAGGTCTCATTTAGAAAAAGATTTTTCCTGTTGCCACATACATGATGTCATCGATATATTGCAGGTATTCTGGAGCTCCACCCTGCTCCAGTGTGTTCTGGATCAGTCCATGGCAAACGGTGGGGCTGTGTTTCCACCCCTGGGGCAGTTGATTCCAGGTGTACTGGATGCCCCTCCAGGTGAAGGCAAACTGAGCCTGCACTCTACTGCTAAAGGAATGGAGAAAAACGCATTAGCAGTATCAGTCATGGCATACCACTTGGCTGCCTTTGACTCCAGTTCCTATTGAAGCTCCAGCATGTCAGGCACGGCAGCACTCATTGGCAGCGTGACTTCATTCAGGCCACGATAATCCACTGTCAGTCTCCATTCCCCATTAGACTTTCGCACTGGCCATATGGGGCTGTTAAATGGTGAGTGGGTCTTACTGATCACTCCCTGGCTCTCCAGCTGGCAAAACAGCTTATGGATAGGAATCACAGAGTCTGGGTTGGTGCGGTATTGCATTCGTTACCCTGTTGTAATAGTGATAGGCAACTGTTGTTCTTCGACCCACAGCAATCCCATGATAGAAGGATCTTCTGAGAGATCAGGCAAAGTAAGGCAACTGTTTGACTTCCTCTGCCTCCACAGCAGCTGTACCAAAATCCCACTGATACCCTTTTGGGTCCTTAAAATGCCCTCTCTTAAGATAGTCTTTGCCAAGGATGCACGGGGCATCTGGACCAGTCATGATGCAGTGCTTTTGCATTTCTTCCCAGTTAGGCTTATTTGAACCTCTAATAGAGTCGGTTCTTGGGTGAACTGATGTTCCATCATCAGATGGATGTTGCCCCTCTCAAGTTTGATGGCATTAGAGTGCATTGGGCACCGGTGTCCACCAAAGCCCTGTACTTCTGGGGGTCTGATGTACCAGGCCATCGAATCCATACAGTCCAATAAACTCAGCTATCCTTTTCCTTCACCTGGCTGGAGGCAGGGCCCCTCTGATACTGACTGTAGCATTCCTTACTGATGAATGGATTTGTGGGGTGGAATGTCTGGGTCCCAGTCTCACCTTGGTTACTCACTCCTTGTGAATACGGATCAGAAATTCTACTCATAGGATTGAAATTAAAGTAAAAGTCAACCCTTCTACTCTGTTGAAGGAACAGATTACTAGAAACTGGAACAGCAATCTTTCTGGAAGCACCGGAAAAACTCCCAGTTCTGTTTGTTTTTCCTTGTGACTTGCATACCTGTGCCTCTAGGGCTGAGGTTGGTTGTCCATCCCAGCTTCTCATGTCTTCTCCATGGTCACTCAGGTAAAACCACAGTTTGCCCTGTGGTGTATACAGTCTCGCTTGAGCAGAGAATGCTTTCTTCTGATCACTGAGATATTGGTCCACACAAGTTGGCAGTAGGCCATATCTTATTTAAATTGCCAGCATTCCTGAGACAGCGTCTCAGTTTCTCAGACGGTTTCTCAGACATTGCCTGAGACATTTTCTCCACAGCTGAGATGCAGGCATGTAAGGAGGTATTCTCTTCATATTGCTGGAGTTGAGTAACCACATCACCCACAGTGACGTCTGCAGCTTCAATTACTGCTGGTGAGTGAGAATATGATGGTGGTGCACTCTGTAGAACCTGTTGCCCTATGGGTCGTGTGCACCAGAGTTCATCTGGATCTTCAGGCAACTGCCTGTTTTTCAACTTGTAATAGATAACCTCCAGCACAGCTAGTTCCCTCAGGCACTGGACACCTTTCTTTATGTTGACCCACTTGCCTGGATTCCAGCCAGTTTCCTCCCTTACACCTGCTAGGAGCCGCCTCTGGAGGCTGCGAGCCTCTGGCCCTTTTTCCCCTCTGCCAGCTGCCTCGGTACCCTGGGCTCCATAGACGTGTGTGTGTCTGGGTGGTGTAGCAGGTCACAATCATTTCCCTTTGGATTATGGGGGCTTCTTCCTGCTTCCCATTGCTGTCTTCCAGCTGAAGAGGCAAAGAGGCAAAGAAGGCATTAAGTACCTCCGCCTTTTCCTCATCCTTTGGCACTATGTTTCCCCCCACATTCAAAAAGGGATGGAAATTCTCCTTAGCCTGCCCTTTGTTGTTGCTGTATTTATAGAAACATTTTTTATTGTCTTTTATGGCAGTAGCCAGATGAAGTTCTAGTTGGGCTTTGGCCCTTCTAATTTTCTCTCTGCATAACCTCATGACAGCTTTGTAGTCCTTCTGAGTTGCCCGCCCCTTCTTCCAAAGGTCATAAACTCTCTTTTTTTTTTGCTGAGTTCCAGCCAAAGCTCTCTGTTCAGCACGGCTGGGTCTTCTTGCCTGCCGGCTCATCTTTCAGCACACAGGGACAGCCTGCTCCTGCAACTTGAAGATTTCGTTCTTGAAGAATGTCCAGCCTTCGTGGGCTCCTTTGCCCTCCAGGACTTCCTCCCAACTGACTCTGTCAGCTAGGCTCATAAACAGGCCAAAGTCTGTCCTCCTGGAGACATCCCTGCTTTGAAATGAGTCTGTTCTCTGGCCATCAACGCAAATCTGTTAGGGAAGGGCAACAGAATGTGGCTGCCTAGTCAGAATGGGAAACCATTCCTTGTGAAAAATAAACTAGCTTAATAGTACAACGTAGGATGTAAAATGTCTATGCTGCAGATGTATTTGTGAAGGACTTTAGGGGAAGGTGTAGATCTCTGAATGTATTACTAGGGAACATTTAAAAAAAGGAGCTCTGCTAAGACCCAGTGTGTAACTTGGCTAATTGTTAAAAGAACAACTTGTCTCCCTGAAAATGTTTTTCTGTCAAAAGCTGTTAGGAAGAGGCTTATTGAATGATATAGCAAATTATTTTTATTGTCCACCAGTGTTGCTACATCTTTCTTCCTGGGTTCCGACATAAGTATATTCCTGGATTTCAGTATCAACAGTGCAGCATACATGACCTCCCACGGGACACTGCAGATTGAAGCAGCGTTCACTCCACTGTTGGAGTGTATTATCATAGATCATTTACCTTCCCTACCCAGATATTGATTTTCTCCTTTATTTATACTTAATGCTTTCTTTCATAAAAGACATCATAGCTTTTTAGTTAACAGTATGTCTTAATGTCTGCTTCCTAGGGTCTTTATTTGTTCTTATTTCTCCTCGCATAGATATGAGTGCAGTTGAATGTGTATTTTCCATCCACTCACTATAAGTATGTGTTCAAAGTAGAGTTCATCTCACTTAAGTTCAGCTTTAAATTTAATCTAATTTAGTCCTTCTGTCATTGGGAGGGGGCAGATAAGCACCTCCAGAAAGTAATTCATCCCACTTGCTGTAGACATTTGTCCTAAGACGTAACATAAGACGTCCACAGGCTAGCTCTTTTTTGGCTAATTGACTGTCTTAATCTAGAAGCCTATTTTTTTTATGGCTGGGATTAGGAAAGATGAATTCTATCCTTCTGTTAACCCTTGTTTGTCTTTAGTTTGAGCATTCAAAAAAGTATTTACTGTGCCTATCGTTTTATCTTTATCTGTGGAATGGCAGCGTCTATAACCTCAAATACAGCTTCCATTGAGTTCCTTTGGTTTAAGGTTTTACTGATAGGCCTCAGCTGAGGTTTGTTTCTGCTAAGGGCTGTGCATAAATGCAACAAGAACAAGCAAGAACTTAAAGACGGGATTGACTAAGTGAAAGAACATGGAAGAGTTGCATATTCTCAGAGGCCAGTAGACACAGAGATTGAGTGACTTGTCCAGAATGATGAAGCAGAAGTGGAAAATTGGTCAAGATTTATTGACTTCCAATCCAGTGCCACAAGCTCAAGGCAAACTTTTCTTTTTCTTCCAAGTACCCCAGTATATATTAAGCTTATGTAAGACATCGCTTCACCGCCCTCCCCCCCCCCCCCCCCTTTTTAGTTATGGTTTTGAACTAGTAAGTTTTCCCTTGAGTATACAATGAAATCATTGGGGAGTGTGTGGGCATCCTTTACATAATTTGAACAAGGGAATCATAGAGTGCTATAATTACACAGAAATAAAGGTTTTAGAAGGACAGAGACAAACTGTTAACTATAACTCCACGCAGATTAATAAAAAAACCTGAATTGCCGATTATTGATAGACTTTTGAAAGTCTCGACTATAAGGTATTTTATTTATAACATTACTTTGTAAAACAACCTCTAGCAAAACATTTCAGTTATTAATATGAACATTACATTCTTTTCCCCTTTAATTTGGACATGCAGGAACTGTGAATGAAAATGATTTTTCCTTCAGAGAATAAATCACAGGAGCAAAACGGCAGTTTTCTAATAGAGCAAAATTTTATTCCCAGAGAGCTCTCAAAAACATTTGAATTAGATGTTAAATTAGACACCTGATATTCACATCTCTCTCTCAGGTCCTTAGGCAAAAATAACAAGATCATAACTCTATCAGCTCAGAGGATTCGGTGTTCTGTTGCAAAATGTCTTCCTTTTGAAATAGATCAAAATTGCAGTTTGGACTATAAAAGTTTTAGATTGCTTGTGTACGTGGAAGGTTGAAGTGAATGGCTTATTGGGAGAAGAAGCAAAAAAAGAGGATCCTTAGTGCTTTGAGTACTCATTTGAGAGATGAAGCACACTGATAAATATGCAATGTGAAAACTTTTCAAATTTGCAGTGAGTGGGCAGCAGAAAAATTATTAACAGTGAAGTTGGATCCATGTTCTGCTTTGTCATCTCATTTCGGTTAGCATTTTGGAGTCGAGTTTTTTAAACAAAAGTTTTTCCAGTACTTCTCTGCGTATGCGTGAAAATGCTTCTGGAATGACATGAAGGTCAATACAAGGGTATAGTGGATGTGCGTGTACTTTCCATAGATACGTTCGCAGAGGAAGAACAGATTTATTTTTGTAGAATCCTCGTGAAGGCTTACTGTAAACTCTTCTTAGTTTAGTTACCTACAGGTGTGGTAACACGTACTGTTCCAACCAAACTAACGGAAAAATATTTGCACCTTGCATCATATTTTAGAAGAGTGTTTTGTATTTCTGCAAAGGAGAGACAGGTGGTAGTGACTCCCGGTTGCTGGTACCAGTTGTTACCCAGTTGCTGATACCCTTACTGGTATGGAATTTTAGGAGGATTTGCCTGTGGAAAAGATGAAACTGGAACATGAATATGGTGAGAAGGTCAAGGAGTTGAACTTAGCCTTAATGGGAAAGAGAGCTTGTGTGCAGGCTTTGTCTCATGTAAACATTTCTCGAATATAATCATAGAATCATAGAATCATTAAGGCTGGAAAGGACCTCAAGGATCATCAAGTCCAACTGTCAGCCAACACCACCCAACCCACTAACCCATGTCCCCAAGCACCACATCTACACGTTTCTTGAACACCCTCAGGGATGGTGACTCCACCTCTTCCCTGGGCAGCCTGTTCCAATGCCTCATCACTCTTTCAGTGAAGAATTTTTTTCTAATACCCTAAACCTCCCCTGGCTCAACTTGAGGCCATTTCCTCTTGTCCTATCACTTGTTACTTTAGAGAAGAGCCCAGCACCCACCTCACTACAACCTGTGCTGTTTATAAGAGGTAATGATGGTTTACTAGGACATAAGCAAGATAATCTTTCCATGCAGAATGAATACCATTTTCTAGACCAACTCTATCTACAGAGTTTGTTTTTCTCAATTATAAATGCCCATGGTCCACAGGTCTGCATGTGGATGATTTATATGCTCCACCATCTATTGAAGCCAATGGCAGCCATGTCCCTAGAACATTAAGCGATACAGATGGTTAATAAAATTCTATAAAAACAGAAAAAATATTTCCTAATCAATCAGGCAATATGATGGTTTATTAATAAAGAATGTAGATACTTGCAAGATACTAATTGCTGTGTCTGTCAGGTGCCTGACCACTGGAGAGGAATTCGGCTACTACTTCTCTGACTTACTAGGTGGCATTAACTCTGTCAATACAGCGTCTTACAAAATGTTACCTGAAATTGTGTGGGATACTGTGCCTTCTAAACTGAGTAGTGACCATAAGATGTTCTTCCTTCCTTTCAGTAAAGCAAATAAGTTTATTCTTAACTTCAAATATGTCAGTAGTCAGTGGCTTAATCAAGGATTCATCAGAAGTTTGAAAAAACTAAGCATGTTTAAATCTTTTACTGATGTAGTACTGAAGGACTTAAATCTTTGAAACACAGAGCCCTTGAGGAGTTGTGCTGTTTGTCACGGTTGAAATTTCTAGACATTCTGTATTAACTTCTGAAAGGATAGGGAGCGTTCCTGTACAGTTTGGGCAGAGAGGATGTGTCTCCTGTGTAGCTCTGGAATTAGTTTTATATAACTGCTTACCATAACTGTTTTGTATCCTGGCCCTGTACACTTCCTTATCAGCATGCAGCCTGACATAGTTATTTGTTTTCATTATTTTATTTTATAGGCAGAGCATTTATTCTAAGCTATTTCAACGAGAAGCAATACAGAAATTCTATACACTATTTCAACAAAGCAAATATTGGCAAATGCAGTAGGGCTGTTATGTTCATCACACAAACGATCCAAACCAGCTAATCGAGTATCTCTCAGATGATGAAAATAAATTATTAGAGTCTGAAAATTGATTATGCGTCATTTTGCTCGTTTCAGGCATTTCCTTTGCTGAAACCATGTTCCTGGGAAGCATGTTACATTTGTATCAGATGCATGTACACTGAAGGTTTATGTGATACTAGCCCAAATTTTAAGGATACGGAATCTGTCTTTGAAATCTAACATAGCTGTATATAACTTGTCCATATCTCCACAGCCCTGCCGCTACAAGTGGCAGGAATATAATAGATGTGTGCAGGGGAGGTTTTTAGATTCCTTGCCTTGAGCAAAATCAGTTAATGATATTCATTCAAGTACAGTACAGTACAAATGGGGCACATTAAATAGCTTATATTAGGTCAAATTAAATAATTGAATTTATTCTTTTACTTAAAAAGAGCTTAATCAGCTGAGAGTCCTAGAGTCAGAAAAAACAGTTTAATTAAATATTAATTCGAAGTTTATATTTTGAGCTTCCTTATCATCACTTGCACCAATATTATTTATGTATCTGCTTTTCCTCATTACAGCTACTAGGGGATGATGTTCAGCCATTCTCACTTGATGAAGAATTTGATTATGACAATGTGGCACTTACCCCAAAGTTCTCCGAAGCTGAGCTGAAGGCCGTTATAGAATCATCTGAAGAGAAGAAAACGGGGACAGATGTCAACTCAGCATAAGCTGAAGACTGTGTCAAAGGCATTCTGTGCAGTACTGTTAAAATAACATTTTAAGGGGTTAATTCTAGCTCTTCAAAATACTCTTGTTTAGTGCTTTTATCTATGTGGTCAGTAAATGACATCCTTGAGGTTTTTTTTTTTGTTCTACCAAGCTGCCTTGGAGGTTGAGGTGCCTTTCCCTGTACCTCCTCCTAGTCCTAATGAAGATACAGAATAGGAAGATGGTGCCTGCATAGAGTTGTTTGTATAGTAGCCCATCAGCCAGAGAGGAAGTATTTTCCTTTTTATGTGTTGGTACACTGGTTTGCTCAGGCATTCAGGAGGTCTGTATTTGTCCTAAACTCAATGGGGTTTTTGTATAGATTAGTGTTGTTTAATATTTTTAGGCCCCAGTGCTCAGCTACTTTGTTGCTTTCCAGGTGGTAAAAGGAAGGAGGGATGTCTCAAATGACAGCCATAAATTCCCTTTTGTAGAAAAGTCCTGGAGTGAGATGAATCCTGTATTGGCTTAGACTAGGTATGCTGGAGTAATTACTCCATAGGACCAAAACAAGCTGGTGGAATTCAGAATAGCACTATGGCTGCTCTGGCTTATATTTGATACTGACTCAGTTCCTGACTAGTGCAAAGCTAGGATGAAAGCTGCCTTTTATCTAGTTCTTTCATTAATGGAAATGAGAGCTTTTTGCAGCTGACAAATCAGGCTGTAAACTTTCCCACTATCATTATAAGACTTAAATGTACAGAGTTATATGAGTGAATAAACCTGGGAATGTTTGGGTTATTTTTCTGTCTTTTGGGTTAACTTCAATTCTGCAGAGAAATAAATATTCCTGTTTCCAGTAAACTTTCTAAGTTGATCAAAATTGATGTAGTGCAACTCCTAACAATTAAAACATGAACTGCTACAGAGAGCCTTCCACACTGAGGAAAAAATAGCAATCTCATCCATTAAAGGAATTGGCATTGAAAGGCTGCCAGATTTTAGTTTTTTTTACAGGAGATGATTCCAAATACCAGCTTAGGGCTTGAACTCAGCATCACTGAAATCCAGCAGACTCTGGAGCTGAGTAAAGGTCAGGTAGTATGGTTGGGATAGAGTGTGCATCTCTGATGAAAGGTAGTATGTACTCTTGCTATGGTTTGTTTCAAATTCTTTTTTTTGTTTCAGGTTACTGTAGAAGCTTTGCTATTGAGGCTTGGTCTAACATCACAACAGTGAATTGTATTACTAGTCTTTTTCTGGTATAGCTGCATTAGCTAAAGTTTGTTGACCCAACATTTTGTCCTTAACCTACCTCCATTATTTCTAAAATGGGTGATTAACAGATGAATACAGGAAGAGTGCTTGAACAGACAGACTAGAGACCAAAACAGAAGTTGTTTAAAGGCTCTGGATGAAACCTGTGTGGCTGGTCAACTGCTTCATTGTCAGTGATTTATAAAAGCAAAGAAAGGTACTTTGATGCTCCAAAGGAGCTTTTCCGGATCAGTGATTTTGTAAGCCCATAATAATGCACCACTGAAATCTGAACAGCATTTGTTTTGAGGAATGGTATTTACCTTAATTAAAGGGATATAATTTAAGAGTGAGTTTAACAAAAACCAGAAAAGAAAGCGGTCTCAGACAAGATGTTTAAGGAGAGTGATACGAAACTACAGGTATGTTGTATAGAAAAATTGGTCTGTATAGGACCTTGCTGGTAGAAGGTAATGAGAAATTTATTTTTAACATCTACACTCAAAAGGGTGCATGTGCTGTAGTTAAAACAGTTTTTGATGCAATTGGCTGTATAGCAGATTCTGCTGTTGTTTCAAAAACATCTTTTTTTTTTCTTTTTTTTTTTTTAAATGTGAATTCATTAGAATTCAATGAAGTGTTTTGTTGAACTCAAGATATTTTGAATTAAGTGCTTAAGATGCAACTGGAATTTTCCAGTGAAACATTTAGGTAACAATTCCTGAGCAGATCTGTTTATTAATTCATTTTCTTCTGGAAGACACAGATAATATGTATAAATGGGAGAGATAAGAAATAAATTCTGGAGTAGCTCCACGAGCAAATCTGGGAGGAAGAAATTGAGAACTGCTGTACAGAGTTAGCAAGTTCAGCCTTTAAAAGGGAGACAACCTCATTAACGTATGTATATATAGCAAAGGTAATGTAAGGAATCTTCAGTCTAAGACACGTCTGTGTACGGAGCTTGCTATCCTGCAGAAAAAGAATCAACTGTAAAAAAAGGTGGACTTTTGTGGGTTTGTGGAGTGATGAATTTGGCCCTTTTTTGTGTGTGTGTTTTTTTTAGAGAGGTATGAGACACACAAATTATAGATCAGTCCTGCTGGAGTCCTATTGCCAGTAGAGTCAATAAGAAAACTTGTCCAGGGGTTCATAATGATCTCCAGGCCCAGGTCAACTCTGGAATCTCTAAGTGCATTTTCTATTCATTTTATTAGCAATTTTTTCCTGTGCATTAGGGATACATCCAGACATTCAGTTCCTTCTCTCACAGGCAGATCATTCTCTTACCAAGTGTTCAGAGTACCTGTTATGCTCTGTAGGTGTCATTCATTATAGTCATTATATGGTTCCATTTGATATAAAGAAACACTTTGCTGCAGAATACCCAACAAAATTGGAACTCTTCAGTGACATCCATCTTCTGCAGAGAAATGGGGATAATTCACTTACATGAGTTAGATTTTTGCTCTTTGCTAACAGAGACGAATATTGCAGTGGAGATTAGGCAATGTAGGCTACATTTTCTGAACATGACATTTTATTGGCCTGCCACGCGGTTGTTTTTGGCTTGTACCTTTCGTTGGATTATCATTCACAGAGGAGGCATATTTTCCTCCTCTCCATTACCTGGTTGTCATTTTTAAGAACATACTTTATGTGCGTGTTAAATTTTATACATGTGCATGGAGTTAGTTACCTGGAATTGTTTCAGTGTTTGCGAGGTGATTTGGAGTCTGAGTAATATATATATGTTTTCCTCTTGTAGCTTATATTCTCTTTAATAT